AAGGAAGGAAGGAAGGAAGGAAGGAAGGAAGGAAGGAAGGAAGGAGAAAGAGGAAAGAAAGAAGAAAGAAGGAAGGAAGGAAGGAAGGAAGGAAGGAAGGAAGGAAGGAAGGAAGGAAGGAAGGAAGGAAGGAAGGAAGGAAAAGAAGAAAATAGAAAGAGGAAAGAAAGAAGAAAGAAGGAAGGAAGGAAGGAAGGAAGGAAGGAAGGAAGGAAGGAAGGAAGGAAGGAAGGAAGGAAGGAAGGAAGGAAGGAAGAAAAAGAAGAAAGTAGAAAGGAAAGAAAGAAGAAGGAGGGAAGGAAGGAAGGAAGGAAGAGAAAGAGAGGAAAGAAAGAAAGAAAGAAAGAAAGAAAGAAAGAAAGAAAGAAAGAAAGAAAGAAAGAAAGAAAGAAAGAAAGAAAACTTCTGAACTGCAGCCCACCAAGCAGAGCAGTCGCAGTGCCAGGACTTCCATTGTTCATCCAAAAATAAGCCCTCCCGTTAGCCTCCTTTAATGAAACCGCTCTACGGGAGCCGGGCAAATAACTCTATTCCGACAATTAGAGCACAAAAACAAAAAAAACCCCAAAAAGGGACGACAAAAGTCTCCAGCCGTGCGGGAACCATCTGACAGGTTGGAAGGAGGAAGGGCGCGCGGATGGGCTGGGCCTCTCCCAACACCGTGCCTACCGCTTGTCAGAGCATCCACAGATGGAGTCAACAAAGCCCCCGTCCCTCTTCCTCCGGCTCCGAAGGGAGGAAGGAGAAGCTCGGCGAACGTTGTTCCCGGGCACCGGCAGAAAGGCTTCCAAGCCCCATCCCTGACGGCGCGCACACGCGGGGCCTGGCTCGCTGCCCGCTGGCGCCACGTAGGCTAATGAGCCTGCCTTCAGATTCCCCCAGCCTTGGCTGAGGCTTTGTGGCTTCGTTAGCAGAGAGAGAGAGAGAGAGAGCGCGAGGGTTTCCAGGCGCCGATGCCCAAGGAAAAGAGAGACGTGCATTTCGAGTTCTTTCCCAAGATCTTCCCAACCGGCCCATCTCCTATGCCCCTCCGTAGGGTTTGCCAATTGCACCGGGGCAGATAGGATGTCACTCCAGAGGGTTACGGTCATTGCCCCTCAGAGGATCATGGGTTGTCCTCTCCCCTCTTTGGAAGAGCTTTAGAGCTCCCGCTGCCTTAAGAAAGTTCAAAACATCCTCAAAGATCCGTCTCATCCTGGGAATCCTTTTTTTTTTTAACTATTACCACCTGGCAGACGGTACAGGATAATAAAAACAAGGACAAATAGGCTGAAAAAGAGCTTCTATATCCCAGGACAGTCACTCTATGGGATTCTGCTGTATAGTGCAACTAGCTCGATACCCATGCTTCCCTATGAAACTATGCGGTCTGGCTTAGTTTTTGAGGACGAAAATAAGGCGGGGGGGGGGGAATTGTGCCTCTGCCTACCAGCATCCAGCGTCCTGTCAGTGTGTGAGAGACTTGAGGGCTGTTTGGAAACTAAAACAGTATTTGCTGTGTGAGCAAGGAGGCAGCAAAGGAACCTGGACGTGGCTTAGCTCAACTGCAGTCGGAACATATTTCTTTTCAGGTGGGGAGGGGGAGTAGAACTCCTTAGCATCAGAGCGTGTTAATAATAATAATATGGGAAATTCTTATGCTGTAATGGTGATTTCGAAAAATCCTTCCTTAGTGAGCACATAGAAGCCAAGAGAAAGATACGTGCCAAATTTCAAGTTTGTGACAGACAGAAAGACAGAAATGCAATATCAGGGGTTTTCGATTCAATTGTATAGAATGTGTGCTTGTGTTTTATTTTTATAGTTTTATAATGTACACTGAAGATGACATTTAATGTGGTTGCACGAGGTGCAATGACAATATTAAATAAAATCTTTTAAGAAAAGTTAAATAAATCTCTCCTGGCGCTGGGTTGGTGGTGGCTCCAGGCTGTTCCCTTTCTCCAGCAGATACAGAATTGGCCGGAGAAGAGGAAGGAACGGAGAGCTCTGAATTTCTTGGAGAGGGGGAAACTGGTTAGCGCGCCAACATTGGGCGGCGGGGTTGGACTAGATGACCTCCACAAGGTCCCTTCCAACTCTGTTAATCTGTTAGTAGGCAGTCTCATGTAAGTTCCAGATTCCTGCATGGACTTCTGGGAGGAGGTTTATTTCCACGGCTGGATTCAAACGGGGGAGGGTCCCCATTGCCATTCTGCCACGAAGCTAAGCAGGTGGGGCCCCCTTTGTGGTCGAGGACTTACCCCTAGGGAGTTTCCTGCCTGAGCAAGGGGGTTGCCCTAGAAGACCTCCAAGGCCCCTTCCAATTCTGTTATCCCGCTCTGTCTGAGAGACCAAGCAAAGGAAGGTGAGCTGTATCTACCCTTCTCAATGAATCCACATTTCTGCCAAGGGAAGTTAGGAAGACGACGGGAAAACTAACCGAAACACGACTGGCAAAGCTAAGGATAGGAAGGCTATTAATCTCTCCAACCTGGAACCTGTTCAGGAAGTGAGGTTTTCCATGCCAGGCTCATTTTAGTGACTGTCAGTGAGAAAGGCGGCGGCATCCCAAGGACCTTGCTGGGACGTGCACCAACTGCGTCCACCACCGGATGCGATTTTATTTTATTTTTTTAAAAAGGAAGAGGGCAGGAGACGGATGAGCTTGGTGGAAGGGAAACAGCAGCCAATCATTACCGAATGCACAAAGGACTAGATTAGCAGAGTTGGAAGGCACCTTGTAGGTCATCTAGTCGGGCGGTCGCCAACCAGTGGGCCGTGGCCGGCAACCTTGCCTGGTAAATTGCTATTTTTCCTTTATCCGACCATCGGCTGTTCTGCTGTGCCGGGAGATTTAGATTAGCTAGAAAGCAGGAAGTGGTTGGATTTCTTGCTTTTAAGCACAGCCGAACCTCCCTTAGGACTGAAGGTCCTATGACTCAGGGCAGACTCTCGGCAAGCAAATTTGAGAGACTGAGCTAGCCGATGTGCAGATAGATAAGATCACTGAATGCATCTGATTCTGTGAGCAACTCAATCTGTCTGCCTGCTTTGCCTGACTTTGGGTAAAAGTTGTTCTTTTTTTTAAATAAAATAATTCAATATTTATATAAATATTTACATACAAGCCATGCCCAGCCAGTCACATGACCACCAAGCCACACCCACAAATCAGGCCACACCCACAGAACCAGTTAGTACTCCCTGGGATTTAAAATTATGAGTTTGGTGGTCCCTGAGGTCCAAAAGGTTGGTGACCCCGGTCTAGTCCAACCCTCTGCCCAAGCAGGAGACCCTACCCCATTTCTGACAGAGGGCAGTCCAGTCTCTTCTTGGGAGTCTTGGAACTGGGCCTGGCTAGTCTAGGGAAGAGAAGGACCAGGGGAGACAGGAGAGCAGCCTTCCAATATTTGAGGGGCTGCCCCAGAGAGGAGGAAGGGGGTCAAGCTATTTCCCAAAGCACCTGAAGGCCAGACAAGGAATAATGGATGGAAACTGAACAAGGAGAGATTCAACCTGGAAATAAGGAGGAATTTTCAGAAAGGGAGAGCAATCAACTCATGGAACAGAAGTTGCCTTCGGAAGTTGTGGGAGCTTCGTCACTGGAGGCTTTCAAGAAGAGCCTGGACTGCCATCTGTCAGAAAAGAGCCTCCTGCTTAGGCAGGGGGTTGGACTGGATGACCTACAAGGTCCCTTCCAACTCTGATTATCTGTTGTCTGTTATCATCCTGCCTTTTGGCCCCGAGACGCCTGCCCCAAATTTAAAACATGCCCCGACACTGTTAGCCCAACCACCCTGGCTACAGCCCTGATGTACCTTCTGACTTTATTTCCAGCTACCAGCATGTTGGGGGGGCTCTCCTGGAGGTTGAGGCACGTGAAGTCACCCAAAGGACCTCCGAGTTGCGTTACACACTGGCCCGTTTCCACGTTGTAGAGGAGGATCTGGAGAAGGAACACAGGGAGGGAAAGGGGGGGTCAGCTGAGGACTTGGGATGGTCTGCAGCTTGGATTTCATACATCACTTCTTTGGCTCGGTCTTCGGTTTTGGCAATTTATCTCCTGGGCAGAACATTCATTTGATTAAAATAAAATAAAATAAAACAGCCGGGTGAATCATCAAAAGAGAACCATCATTCTCTTTTAATGATTCCCCCATAATCCCTTGCGGGGTGGAGTCGGGGCAACTGAATGGAGCGGAGTGTTTGAATGGCCCGATGCCCTTCCTGTCGCCAAGGCGGAGTTTTGTTCGGCAGATACATTCTCATGGTGCCCGGAGAGAGAAATATCTGCCTCTACCTAGGATCGAACTCACAGCCTCCTGATTGTGAGGGGAGAGCTCCCCCTCTAGGCCACCGTATCATAAAAGGAGAATGAGAAGGATAAAAGAAAGAGGTAACAATAGTAGCCTCAAAACATGGCTTTCATCCAAGGCAACAAAGCTTGGATAAAAGTTTTGAGGAATGTCCACCTGGAAGTCTATTTCTTTTGGGTTAAGAGTGTCATTTCCCAGGTGGGTTGGTCATGCCAGTTAGAAGCTCTGGACAGCGTAATGTATACAGTGATGCGTTGATTAAAAAAAAAAAAGCACTGGCCTTCTAATGCGATGTTTCTCAACGTTGGCAAACGTCCTGTGGACTTCAGCTCCCAGAACTCCTCGGCAAGCTGAGGAATGGGGAATTCTGGGAGTTGAAGTCCACAGGTCGTTGCCACGGTTGAGAAATACTGTTGTAAGGTCACTGGGTTGAGCTTCCACTGGCCAACCTGGTCTTCCGTTTTGTGGCGTGCGTGCCTGCAAGAAGACCGGCTGGCTGGCGCGCATGCGCACGCCGGAAACCAGAAGCTAAGCTTCCTGGCTCACACCTGCATGCCAGGGAGCTGCTCTTCCGGTTTCCGGCACTCCTGCGCATGCACACACCCGAACCCAGAAGAGCAACGGGCGACGGCTGGCGTGCCCGGAGAAGTGGCTTTGCATGCCACTTCGGCACAGGTGCCACAGGTTCGCCATTGCGGCTCCGGACTATGTCCGTTTGCCAGGGACCATCTCTGTCCAACAGATATGCCCAACGAAGCCAACCTTTCTAAACCCAACAACTTCCAAAGCTCTCAAAATCAAACATGTCTGGATTCCAATTGTCCCCCATTCTGCTTTGCACTGAATAATTCAACACGTCCCCGAATGACTTAAGTCGGCCTTCCCCGTGACGCTGAGTTAAAGACCTCGGAGATAAGGGGGGGGAAGACAACGCAACGGCCTCCATTTTGTGGGCGATTCTTCCCATGTTACAAATCCCTCAACGGCCTTTACTTGTCTCACACACACACACGCTCCCCGCTCTCTCTTTTAATAAGGCTGAGCAATTGGGACTTCATTGGGCTACAGGAGAGCAGGATCAATTATTCATGGCTTGGCTTTCTCTAGCGTTGGGGCCTTGCATTAGCCTAATGTCACCTCTTCGCCAGGATGAAATTATTATTTTTATTAATGCAATATCAGGGGTTTCAATTCAATTGCATAGAATGCGAAGGATGCATGCTTGTGTTTTGTTTTTTACAGTTATAATGTACCCTGAAGGGGGCATTTAATTTCATTCTATAGGGTGCGATGACAATAAGCTAAAAAAAACTAAGAGTTGGTCACTGGGAGGCTTTAGCCTTGGGCAGAAAGGCAGGGAAGGGCAGATCCATGGGTGCAAGGATAAAAACAATCAGGTGATTACTTTATAAATGGAGTTTTTCTTGCAGCCACATCGGCCCCCGACGCAAAGATTTGGCAACTGAACGTCCCCTGCTGCCCAAATCTGCAATTCCAAATCGAGCGAAATCTTTCTCTGAAGTTGCCTTCAGAAGCTGTGGGAGCTTCATCACTTGGAGGCTTTCAAGAGACCGGACTGCAATTTGTCAGAAATGGTGTAAGGTCTCTCATGCTTGGCCCATGGGTTGGACTAGATGACCTACAAGGTCCCTTCCAACTCTGTTACTCTGTTAAGGGCAAATCTGTTAAACTTTGCTTGCCAGAAGCCGGATGGGAAGGTCACAAATGCAGATCCCGTGATCCAGGGACCCTGGTAAATACATGCCGGCTGATAAGTGCCCGAATTCTGATCACGGGACGCTGCTACAGTCGTAAGTGTGAGGACGGATGGCGAGTCCCTTTTTTCAGCGCCAGCGTGAACAGTCTCTAAACAAAGGGTTGTAAGTTCAGGACTGCCATATCGATAACACCCCAGCAAAAAGCAGACTCGCTGGAATAATAAATCTACTAAATGAGCTGAAATTTGAAAAAAACCAATTAGAGAGGAAGGAAGGGACAAGCGGAGGAGAGAGCGAAAAGGCACAGTTAGGTGAAAAATGAGGAATGAGAGAGAGAGAGAGAGAGAGAGAGAGAGAGAGGGAAAGGGAGAGAGAAAGTGTGGATTAAAAAAACAAAACAAAACGGGCGGGAAGGAAGGAGAACAAAACAGTTAATATGCATGAATAATGGATGCTTGATTTAAAAGCCGTTTGCTCCGATATGATGTAATTTTTTGACAACTAGCCAGCCAGTCTGTCTTGCAGTTCCTTGCCACAGAAAACTCAGCCTGGAGAGGGGGGTGAATACAGCCCCCCCCCCACATTTTATGCTATTCCAAAGGTGATTTTTCCACTGGCAGGTGTGGGTGGGCAAACGCCCCCTCCACTGCTTTGCATTCAGGAGTGGGTTGCTTCTACATCAGCGGCCCATAACCCTCTGGGGGCCGGGGACCCAAAGGGGAGAGGTGTTTTCCATGGACCGGAGGGCGGGGGGAAGCGAGGTTTCATGGCTTCGCTTGTTTGCGCTGAACAACGGATTATAGAAGGAACAGATCAGACATCCGGCCCTTGCTTATCCATGGAGACCGAGGGGAGCAAGTGGCCAGTTTTAAGTTTCTGAGTGTTACCCTAAAAGAGGACCCGACGTGGGGGGCTCACATTGCAGCCCTGGTCAAAAGGGCCCAGCAGAGATTAGACTACCTGTTACTTCTCAGAAAACAACTGAATGAAAACCGCTGGTGACCTTCAACCGCTGCACCATAGAGAGCATTTTAACCTACTGCACCTCTGCATGGTTTGCCAATTGCACAGGGCAGATAGGATGTCACTCCAGAGGGTTAAGGTCATTGCCCCTCAGAGGATCATGGGTTGCCCTCTCCCCTCTTTGGAAGAGCTTTAGAGCTCCTGCTGCCTTAAGAAAGTTCAAAACATTCTCAGAGATCCATCTCATCCTGGGAATGCTTTTTTTTAAAACTATTACCATCTGGCAGACAGTACAAGATAATAAAAACAAGGACAAATAGGCTGAAAAACAGCGTCTATCCCAGGGCAGGAGCTCTTTTGAATTCTGCTGTATAGGGCAGCGTTGGTGTGGTGTCGGGGGCTTTTGGTTCAAAGTGTGGAATGTGAAGGATGTGTGTTTGTGTTTATTTTCATGGTCACGATGTGCACCGAAGATGGTGTTTGATTTGGTTGTACAAGGTGCAGTGACAAGAAACAAAACTAAACTAAACTAAACCGTTTCTGACATGCCATGGACCAGAGATTTGGGAGCCCTTTTCAAAGTGACGCTGAATAAAAGGGATTTAATCAAACAGATCTACTGGGAAGGCTCCGTGGGACATCTTTGGAATCAACAGGCTGCCTTGGGGCACCCCACTTCACCCCAAAACCCACATTCCCAAACTCTCTCTCTCTCGTATCTAGCTTTGTGCACCAGGGCCTGCCGATGCTTTTCGATAAAACCGGGTGTGTGTGTGTGTGCAAAGGAGTCCCTCTCCTTTCAGGTTGGGGCTTAAAGAGAGTCAAAGCCATCGGCTCAAAGGTGTTTTTGCCAAGTAGGGCCAGACCAGGGGTACGGAGCCGTGCCAGAGCACCTGCAGGCTCTCCTGTTCGTGCCCGGGATCCACGGTGGACGCATCCTGCCAAGAGAGGAACCCGGCCAAGCCAGGCGAGCTGGGAAAGAGGCAAACGTCTGTTGGAGGCGGAACGGAGGGAGCCAAATTCATTTGAGCCCTGAAGATAAGATGAAAAGGTGAGTTCCAATTGGCTGAAGATGGACCGGGGGTGGGTGGGGGTGTGGGTGACAACAACCAGGGGAATCTTTCTGTATCTTTTGAGTGCAGGAAACCCAGATCTAGCCCGACTTTACTGCATTTCTTAGTAAAAATAACCTTTCACTTCAACCAAATGGGAGTCGAGGGTCTTTCTTACCTAAGGGATCAGATTGGGACGTGACTGACACTGGGCACGGGGACGATGAGCGGATGAGAGGTGGGGCCCTGATTGCAGGTCTTGAATTAAGAGGCTATTCATCTGTCGGGTGGGGATTCTGATTTTTTAAGGAATTGGGTCGGTCTGGACTGTGAACATCAGTGGAAAAAAAGGAATCGCAGCCAGCAAATTTTGAATTTTCTTTTGGAAAGGAAAAGAGTATTTTTCCCGGGTGTTACCAATGAGTTTAGGAAAAGGCGAAGCCTAAACACTCTCAACTCTTTTAGTGAATATAATTGGTGAGCGCAGTTCTACATTGTTTTTAGAAGGGGGTGGTTAAACATTTATGGGTGCGTTTTTGATTATTTTGAACCTGCTTTGGTGGTGGGGCAAGACTGTAATTGGGAGCCAAAAATTAAAAGCAAATTCTTTTAAATAAAGCAGCTAGCTTTGAGGGTTGCTAGGTTTTTAAGTTCTCAAAAAATCAAAATTTATTGCTATTGCAGTAAGGGGCAATTTGCGTTTGGAGCAGAACGGAGACAGTCCAGTCGGGCAAATTAGCCAAATGAAAATTACTTGATGGGCTATAAAACAGCATTAAAAGAAATAAAACAAGGGGTGATTTTTAATCATGTGGAAGAATCACAACACCCACTTAAAAACCTGATCCAGGCCATCCAATGCTTTGGACGGGCATGTGCAGAAACCTGAGCCAGCAACACACAACATGCCTGAATTTATTTGTGTGTGTGCGTGTGTGCGCGCATGTGTGTGTGTGTGTGCGTGTGTGTGTGTTTCTCATCCCACCCAGGAGAGTGCCAAAAGGTACCGATACATCTTCTGTTTCAATCTAGAGACAAATCATTGACTTCTGACCAGATTAATCCACTCGTGTAAAGTCCCTTTGTGTCTGGGGAATAATTATCATAATAGACATTAGTAATTAGTTTTTGGTGTGATGTCAGCCAGCCTGGCAATGCCAATCAGCCACTGTCCTTGTCAAACACATCCCAGCTGTCTGGGCTTTTTCAGCTCCATCTCCCTGATTAAAATAAACACTGATGCGCCACTCGGAAGCCATCTGTCCAACGTGCAACCAAAACTGGAATCTATTTGGAAGATCACACGGATGCCTAGACTGGCAACTGGGAGGCCCCCACTAAATCTCTTGTATTGGAAGGTGGTTGCGTTGTTGGAGGGACTCTTTAACTAGAACCTGAAGATTCATCCAAGATCTTAGGGATGGAATCAAGGATGAAAAGTGGAGCATGCAAGGAATGTGTTGGGTGGGCAGGCACAATAGCTCAGTGGTTAAAGAAGACGCTGAGCTTGTCAGCTGGAGAGGGTTCGAGACCCGAGCACCACCAGATGGGGCGAGCTCCCATTCCTTGCTCCAGCTCCAGCTCACATGGCAGTTCGAAAGCATGCAATTGCGAGTAGATCAATAGGTACCATTTGGGTGGGAAGGTAACAGAGTTCCATGTGCCGTGGCGTATAGCCATGTCGGTGACATGACCACAGAAGCGTCTTCAGACAACACTGGCTCCTTTGACTAAGAAACTGAGATGAGCAGTGCCCCTAGAATCTGACATAACTGGACAGGAGAAACTTTTAGCTTTACTACTACTACTACTACTACTACTACTACTACTATTGGTTAATCTTTAGTGAGATTCACAGCCTTTGGGGCTGGTTGATAGCTCAACAGCTCAAGTCCAACCAAGGACCTAGGAGCTGTTCAGGTAGTGTCGGAGGATATAAGCTGTTCCAAGTAGGGTAGCAACCAAGTCTGATAAATTCAGGATTACCAAATAGTGAGGTAGCCCTTTAGGTATTGCTCCAAGGGCTCCAATTACAATTGGGACAACAATTAGGATGTATTATTATTATTATTATTATTATTATTATTATTATTATTATTATTATTATTATTATTTAAATATACAACCCTTGGGATAATAAGACACACTAGTTAGCGATATTACAATCTTATTATACGGCACCTCTTGATCGTATTCTCTGGAGGTTCAACTGGCCCTGACTTCGCAGGCATTTCAGAAAGCTTTAAAAATACGGAAGCCTACCTAGGCATGGGGTGGAGAGGTTAATTGAACCTGTGAGACTGATGGCGATTTATGGATGCCTTCTGTTGTCTTTGGTTGTCACGACGTATTTTAACATTAATTTGTGCTGAGTTTTTAGCCCTGGGTGAGCCCTCCTGTAAGGTGGCCGGCCATGTAAATCATGTTAATAAACCCATAAATAAATAATCTGAAATAATATTTTCATACCTAAAATCCTTGGCCTGCCGTTAGCATCTCCTGCCTCGCTGTATGGTTGCAACAGTGATCGGTTACAGGTAGTCCTCAAGTTGCGACCAGAGTTAGGTCCAAAATTTGAGTGGTGCGGTAGCCTAGAGGTGGAGCTCTTGCCTCACAATCAGGAGGCTGTAAGTTCGATCCTAAGTAGAGGCAGATATTTTTCCCTCTGGGAACATTGAGATTATATCTCCTGAATATAACTCTGCATTGGGGACAGGAAGGGCATCCGGCCAGTAACCATTCAGCTCCATTCAGTTGCCGAGACCCCAACCCGCAAGGGATTATGGGGATCATTAAAAGCCGATGAGTTGGGCCCAAAATTTCTGTTGCTAAGTGAGACAGGGAATTTTGCCCCATTTTATGACCTTTCTTGCCACCGTTGTTAACTGAATCACTGCAGGTGTTAAGTTAGGAACACGCTCACTAAGTGAATCGGGCTTCCCCGCTGAGTTTGCTCATCCGAAGATCGCAAAAGGGGATCGGGTGACCCCGGCACACTGCAACCGTCACAAATACGAGTCAAGTTGCCACGCGTCTGAATTTTGATCACATGACTGCGGGGAATGGTTGTAAGTCTGAAAAACGGTCAACTTTTAAAGGTCCACTTTTTTCAGCGCCACTGTAATTTCAGTCACTAAATGAACTGCTAGAAACTCAAGGGCTATGTGCTAGAAACTCAAGGGCTCCACTTCTGCAACAGGTATTGTTCGGGCCGAGAAATTTGTTGGATGCAACTTTTTAAACTGAGGCTGCCTATTCTATTGGTCTTCCTTTACGAGGCCAGCGAGGAGGTTATGGAAATAAACAAGCAAACGTCTGTATTGATTCAGTTAGCGTCTGTCTTTTAAAACGTTGGCGAGTGGTGCCCATAAACTTTCAACCGCCTATTTGTAGCTGGAAGAACTGTGTTTAAAAGAAAGCTGAGATATGAAGGGAGCTGAATCGTGCACCTAATAAAACTTACGGATCGGGAAGCTGTCCATTTCAATTTAATTCAGCTGCTTAATTTTTTTTCTGGGCTGCAAGCTTGCCTTTGCCCCAGTTTGCCAATTCAGCATACTAAGAAAAATCCATGTGTGCTTTCATGCACCTTTATTGCACTGCACACATTTTAATGTACCTTTAATGCATCATTCGATACATTAGCGCACCTTTGTCCTAACACACACATTTTTAGATCGCATTGCTTAACACGCATGGGTCTTAGCATCGATATTTCTCTAACATTGACGGTTTCCTAGTATGATTTGATTGCTGATTGTACCCTATGACTATCATTAAGTGTTGTACAATTCTTGATTCTTAACAAATGTATCTTTTCTTTTATGTATACTGAGAATATTTACACCAAGACAAATTCCTGGTGCATCCAATCATACTTGGCCAATAAAGTATTCTATTCTATCTGTTCTAACAGTGCACATCAGTGTGTAAAATACGCTCTAAGAGAGCATAGATTTGGAAAAGACAAAGGTTGCGAACACCGCGCCAAATAATTTTTCCCATTCTGCTCATCCTCGTCTTCTTATCGTTGCTATTTTGATTTACATAAGCAGCCCGCAGCCTACGAGGATTTGCATAAAGGAGTAAATAATGATACAGCCTGTGTTATTTCGAAGGCCCTGCTGAAACAGTTGCACAGACCCGGGCTCCAATTATTTGTTCATCCTGCTTAGGAAGGGAGAGGTGGAGGAAAAGAAATGAATTGCTGGAGGCTATGGCGGACCAGATGAAGTCTCTTCCAGATACCTTACGAGGCAGGATTTTGACAGGGGCTGTGATGGGCATCAATTTGTGATGAGCAGCGTCGCTAACTAGGAACACAAAGCCCACGAGCCTTAGGATAGGCAGGCTGCAGAGATGTCAGGCTCTCCCTCCCCAACCGCCCCCAGCCCATATTATCATGACCTCAGGGGTCAGCCCAAGACATTTAGGAGCGCAACAAAAGGATTCCTCCCCTCCCTTTTCGAGATTACAGTCTACAGGTAGTCCTTGACTGACGAGCCTGACATTTCCGTTTGCTAAACGAGACATGTTAAAGTGGAAGGAACTTTAGAGGTTAACAGATTGACAGAGTTGGAAGGGACCTTGTAGGTCATCTAGTCCAACCCCCCCGCCCAAGCGGGAGACCCTACACCATTTCTGACACATGGCAGTCCAGTCTCTTCTTGAAAGCCTCCAGGGATAAAGCTCCCACAACTTCCGAAGGCAACTTCTGTTCCATTGGTTGATTGTTTTGTCAGAAAATTCCTCCTTATTTCCAGGGTTGAATCTCTCCTGGATCAGTTTCCATCCATTACTTCCTTGTCTGGCCTTCAGGTCTTTGGAAAATAGCTTGACCCCTTCCTCCTCTCTGTGGCCGCCCCTCAACTATTGGAAGACTGCTCTCCTGTCTCCCCTGGTCCTTCTCTTCCCTAGACTAGCCAGGCCCAGTTCCTGCAACCGTTCTCCGTATGTTTTAGTCTCCAGTCTCCTCATCGTCCTGGTTGCTCTTCTCTGCACTTTTTCTAGAGTCTCAACATCTTTTTTTTATAGAATGGTGACCAAAACTGGATGCAGTACTCTAGGTGTAGCCTTACTAAGGCTTTATACCTTACTCCTTCTCCTCCAACCACTACTCAGTACTGGAATTCTCCTAACGTTCTGGGCAAACGACTGTCTAGCCTCAAACCCTCCCAATGATGGAGGAGACCCATAATTTCTGGCTGTTCCATTGTTTAATACAAGGGGTGGGATGCAAATATTTTTACTATCGGTTCTGAGGGTGTGGCTAGGTGGGCGTGGCCATGTGACTGGGTGGGGCGTGGCTTTTTTTTTCTTTTTCTTTGCAGCACCCAGCCACCCCCACTACAGTCCAGTTTTTTTTGCCTCCTGGGCCTCAGGGAAGCCTCCTGAGTGGATCAGTAAGACAGCGAAGGTGGTCCGGGCATAGCTAATCGTCGGGGGGGAAAAAAGAAAGCAATACTGGTTTCGGCTGAACCGGTAGCTGTTTTTTTTACTACCGGTTTGGCCGAACGGTGACTTTTTTTTTAACTACGGGTTCGCTTGAACTGGGCCGAACCGGCAGAATACCACCACTGGCTTAATAGCTCTCAATCAATCCAAATGCAACAGAAAGAAGCCAAAGTTAAACGTTTTATGGAACCCAAGGCCTGAGGTACCTTGTTGGTCTCGTTTATCAGCCAGCCGAAGCCCCTGACGCCAAATGCCACCTCCTTGGCCGAGACATCCAGGCATGTGACGGGCTGGCCGTAGACGCAATGCAGGACTTTAGCGGGCTCTCCTTCTTTCAAGACGTAAATGGCGTCCTCAGCGGCTACTACGGCAGCTGGGCAGCCCGAAGTTTGGGGCACGAGACAGAGCAAGCTGACCTGAAAAGAGGTAATGGATTGAAGAGAGAATTGAGTCTCAAGACATCTTCCCCCATCGACGTTTTTCTTTTCGCTTCTCCCCCAAACATTGAAATAGCGGTCCTTTCCCCTTCAATGTCACGAGTTCCAATTCTCTCGGATAGGGAAGATGAGCATCTCAATAGGACCATGCCTACTAACTCTGTTACTTCAACGGGTTAGAGGGCGGGTATGGGGAGAGGAAAGCTTGAGGGGTCCTTGGTGCTCTCTGAGCTTGGTGGTCTCTGGCAGACTTTTCATGACCCAAGTAGGTAACATCATCAGTGTTAGAAGGGGGGGGGGGGTTGGGGGGGGGGGGGGGGGAGAATGACTGTGGGGTACTTGGTGCTCTTTGAGCCTGGTTGTTTCATGACCCAACAAGAGGGGTGAGGAGGAGGAGGAGGAGGGGGAGGAGGAGGAGGAGGAAGAAGAAAAAAATGACTATAGGGTCTTTGCTGGTCTCTGAGCTTGGTTGTTTACTTGCAGAAATTTCATTACCCAACTAGGTAACATTATTAGTGCTAGAAGGGAGTTGGGGGAGGAGGAGGAGGAGGAGGAGGAGGACAGGGGGAGGGGGGGGGAAGGAGGAGGAGGAGGGCGACTGTGGGGTCTCAGCTTGGCGGTTTTCTTGCAGACACTTCATTACCCAACTAGGTAGCATCATCAGTGCTAGAAGGGAGGAGGAGGAAGAGGAGAATGACTGTAGCGTCCTTGCCAGTCTCTGAGCTTGGCTGTTTACTTGCAGAAGTTTCATTACCCAACTAGGTAACATCATCAGTGCTGAGTGCTAATATCATGAGCCCTGTTTTCTGCAAGAAAACCCACCGCTGAGAGAGCCCCAAATGAAGGACCCCTCATTTCAACCCCGAGCTCCAAATATCCTCCTTTATTAGAAGAAAGCGTTGAGGAAAGAGTGCCTCTGAAAGCGAAAAGCTTGGCCACTACCACAGATGACCTCATCCTGGCAGAGTCCAGATGCAATGGACCAGCCAGCACCTCCATCTCCATTCAGAATAATCTACTTTTTTTTTCTTCAGCTGAAGGATTCAACCACCTGGACTCACCTAAGGGAACTTCCTTTGATCCTTTTTCTCCAATCAAAAATCAAAGAAAAAGACCCAAACACCTCCTCACCAGCAATCAAAACCCAGAGGAGATTAACCACGATTAAGACCAAAACCAAGATTAGCACTAAGACCAACAATCAACGTTGGAAGTTTTTAAAAAGACGTTGAATAACCCTTTGTCTGAAGTAGTGTAGGGTTTCCTGCCTAAGCAGGGGGTTGGACTAGAAGACCTCCAAGGTCCCTTCCAACTCTTCTATTATTATCTTCTCTTCTCCCCTCCCTTCCTCACCTTCCTCCCTTCTTCTCTTCTCTTCCCTTCCCTTCTTCCCTTCTTTCCTTCTCTCCTCTCCTCTCTTCTTGCCATAAACAATACCCTAATACTACCAAATCAGACAAAAAGCTAAGAGCCTAAGCAAGGAACCACCAAGGATGCTCCCACCAAGACTGACAGGGCAAGCCGCCTAATAGGTAGACAGAGGGCCAATCCCTTTCCTTTCTGGCACTGATGACGTTACCTAGTTGGGTAGTGAAATGTCTGCAAGAAAAATGAATTACAAATATTCCATCGATCCTTCCTTTCTTTTTCGTTCTGGGCTGCATCTCTGTTCCCTCACCCGCTCGGCGCATTGATCTTCACTAATTGGTCCAAGGTGATGTAATCCGACACGTTGAAAGGGCTTTTTCCTGCGGCTAACAAAGAGAACTCACCCATTTCTGAATCTCAAACTCTGCCAGGGTCCCCCAGTATCCTTTGTCGTTGGCACTTTCCACTCTGACCTGGAACCCGGCTGCCGTCGCTACCGTGGCCCCCTCGGTTGAAAGGGCCATACTCTGAATCTTCTGGTTGTGCTGGTACCGGTGGATTGGCTCAGAACCGACCAGCAGGCTCCACACTTTCACTGACCCTGCATGCCAAAAAGGGGGAAAATGGTGAAAATAGAGTACAGGGTATCTTACCAGGAAACAGTCAATATAAACCGTAAGGATACAAGCGACAAAGTGACAGTCATACAGTCACAAGTGGGAGGAGATGGGTGATAAGGATGATGATAAGATGAATAGTAATAGTAATGCAGACTTTGTAAATAGTTGGATAGTACATTATCTCCTATACTATATCTGTATATCATATCTATCTATCCATCCATCCATGTCTATCATATCTATCTCTATCTCCCCCCCCCCATCCTCATATCTATGTATGGAGGCTTTCAAGAAGAGATTGGACTGTCATCGGTCAGAAATGGTGTAGGGTCTCCTGTCTGGTTGGGAAGGGTTGGACTAGATGACCTACAAAGGTCCCTGCCAACCCTGTTAATCTAATCCATCTTTTGGGACAACTATCCCATTTCAATTAAATCAACCTATTTAAGTAGCAATTCTCTACTCTTATTCAATGAGAATTGGCTATTGGGTGCCCCCATAGAAATTAAAAACTGCACTGAGAGTTAAGAAAGAGGCAGAGATAGAACTGTAAGCCATGAGCTCAATGGAAACCCATCAGTGGAAGAAAAGGGGCAGGAAATGAGGTTTTAACTTGAGGTTTTAACATATGGCAGCTTCGTTTTATTATGCCGGATTCAACTCAATGACAATAATAAGTTTTAATGTTTTTTTGCCAGGCAGGAGTGACTCTCCAGTCTCCAGAATGGCATCTTTCTGTTGGAAGGGAAGAAACTTTTTTCCAATGTTTCAAATTTGTCTAACAAGATAAATTTCTTGTGTGTCCAATCGTATTTGGCCCATAAAGAATTCAATCTTCTATCTATCCAAAGCAATCCTCAAAGTTTCCTACCAGGCTGCTCTCCATGGTCCTGAAAGCCAGCCGCCAGCCCTACAAGGACAAAAATCACCCACAAAATATGTTTTGGAGATATACTGGTTCATACTTATGACCGTTGTTGTGTCCCGGGAGTCACGCGATCCCCCTCTGTGACCTTCTGGCAAGCAAAGTCGATGCGGGAGCTTGACTCGCTTAACAACCGAGTTACCAAGTTATCAAATGCAATGATTCACTTAACAACGGGGGCAAGAAAGATTGTAAAATGGGATGAAATGCCCTTAACAAATGTCTCACTTAGCAACAGATGTTTTGTACTCAATGGGGATCATACATTGAGGACTACCTGTACCAAGCCAGGGCTTTTTAAGCCATGGTTTACTGAATAAACTCAAACCTCTGCAACTGTCTGATTTGGCTCTGCAACCCAACAAGACAGACAACAGTCTTCAGAGGATAATTAGGACTGCAGAAAAAACAATGGCTACCAACCTGCCTTCCATGGAAGACCTGTATGCTGCATGAGTCAGAAAGAGGGCTGCGAAAATATCTAGACCCCTCACATCCTGGACATTAATTGTTTCAACTCCAACCCTCAAAACGACGCTATAGGGCACTGCACACCAGAACAACTAGAGACAAGGATGGTTTTTCCCTGAACGCCATCACTCTGCTAAACAAATAATTCCCTCAACACTGTCAAATTACTTAGTAAGACTGTACTTTTATTATTATTCTCATCCTTCCTATTACCTATCTCCTCCCACTTATGACTACAACCGGGTTGCTTGTATCTTTACAATTTATATTGTTTTATTGTTTCCTAGTATGTTTCGATTTCGTATTAGTAACCTGTGTATGATTTGATTGCTTATAGTAACCTATGACTATCACTAAGTGTTGTATCTTATGATTCTTGATGAATGTATTTTATTTTTTCTTTATGTACACTGACAGCAGATGCACCAAAGACAAATTCCTTGTGTGTCCAATCACACTTGGCCAATAAAAGAATTCTATTCTATTCTATTCTATTCTATTCTATTCTATTCTATTCTATTCTATTCTATTCTATTCTATTCTAGTCTTATTGTACCCTATGACTATTATAAATTGTTGTAGCTTATGATTCTCGACAAATGTATCTTTTCTTTTATGTACACTGAGACCAGATGCACCAAAGACAAACTCCTTGTGTGTCCAATCACACTTGGCCAATAAAAGAATTCTATTCTATCCTATCCTATCCTATCCTATCCTATCCTATCCTATCCTATCCTAGTCTAGTCTAGTCTAGTCTACATTCTATTCCATTCCATTCTCTTCTCTTCTATTCTCTCAACCTGCACGATTGACAGAACTCACAGCACCTGGGTTCATATGTGAAACGCCGGATGGGTTAACAAGTTGGGCCACAGAATCTTCGCCTGACTGAATACAGAGAGGTCAAGAGTTCCTTGTAAGTTAGATTAAAGCCACATCAGGGAGTGCTGGTTTGGCACCCCTGCCGAGTTGCAAATGTTTCTTCCCTCCATTGAAAGATAGCAAAGCCAAGAAAAAGGATAATGAGATGGCATCCCAGCAAATTTAGAGGATTATTTATGTGCACTTTGGTAAGGATTATTTCTGTGCCCATGAAGCACTTCCACGTGGCGAAATAGCACCAGCAATCTCAGGAGCTATTTAATGGCGCTGCCTCTAAATATTTATGGGCCTCGTCAGGGGAGCGAGCACAATCGAAGAAGCCATTTTGGGGTGGGTTTTTTTGCGCGCGTGTGTTTTTTTATTATTTTATTAGGGAATGCATATTTAAATTAATCTATTTGCCTAAACAATTAGCCGGCTCGTTTTGTGCACACGGTGCCAAAATTGCAATTAGACTTCCATCAACATGCAAAAAGGCCCGAATGAAACTGCCCCAAAGGAGTCGTAAGGCCGCCTGGAGTTGGGTTATTCCAATTTTACTTCAAGACCTAATGATAATTGTCTGGATTGTTTGAAAGGTAAATAACAACTAAGCTGGTTTAAAAAAAAATAAGAATGCCTATGGAACAGCAGCCGCCCGACACGGAAGCAAATTAACTCCTTTTTATAAAAAAAGAGAAGAGTCTCATGAGCCATTAAGCCAACTTTTGAAGCCCAAAGCGGTCTGGGGGAAAAACTGCACGTTAAAACTTTGTTCCACAGCCACTGATTTCGACTTTGAATTTTACTTGGAGACCCCAGTCAAACATACCGTGTGATTATTGTTAAGTGCAAGGACTGCTCGTAAGTCACTTTTTGTCACTTCAAACATTTGCTAAATAAAAGGTTGTGTTGAGAACAGCCCGGATGGTGAGATTCACCTTCTACATTTGTCCTGGAACTCCAGTTGCAAATCACTAAGCCGTTCCCAAGTATCTTGACACAATTCCTCTCTGATGGCCAACGTAACACGGCTGTTATGAATTGACGTTTCATTACCCCAACTAGGTAACACCATCAGGGCTGAGTGCTAACATCATGAACACTGATAATGTAACCTAGTTTGGATAACAAAATGTCTGCAAAACCACCAAGCTCAGAGAGCACCAAGGACCCCCGAGTCCTCTTCCTCCTCCCTTCCTGCAAACCCCACTCCCTTCTAACACTGATGGTGTTACCTACTTGGGTAATGAAA